CTGCCACACAAGTGGCCTTTTCAGATACCGTAAATGTAGCTGAGTGATGAAAACAGCCACATTAACTACTTTTTGTAAGACTCCAAAACGAATTATACATCTCACTTTCTTAAAAATACTAGTATTGTTTTCAACAAAATGTTCAAAACACTTTCCTACCAACTCCGGAGGGTGCTGAGGTGGTGGGCCATTTGCCCCTGTACTAAAGAACCAGGATATGGGAGGAGAAAGTAGTCACTTTCATATTTCCACCAGAGCTCATTCACCCTCTTCCCATCTTCTGTTCTGAAATAGCCCCAAAGTTAAAGGCAACTGTGACCAAAAAAAAGCTCTAGTTTGCACAGCTAGTTTTTGGTGGGAGGACACCTGCCTTGTAGCAAACATGGTGTGTGCATGGGCTTCCTGAGTACTGTGCTGGGAGTCCAAGTTCAAGGACAACCTGACCTTCACAGCCTGGGCCATTCAGGTGGCCTGTGCTCCAGAGCACAGAGGGGTGATATGGGGACATACTAGGGGCTGCCAAGTTGTCTGGCTGTTATTGCTAGGGCCACCCAGTGGTCCCAGGGCCACCCAGCGGTGCCTGGAGGTGCTCCTTTGTGAGGCTGAGCAGGATGCCCCGAGTCCTTCTCACAGAGCTGCTGGACTTTGCCATGACTGGGTAGTACAGACAACACCTCCCTCACCTTCTCTGCTCTGTTCTCAGGCCACTAGTGGTTCCTCACATCCTTGACTACATGGTTATTACAAACACTAGCAATTTAAAACAAGCATCTCAAACCACAGAGGACAAGTGGCTGAAGCTGGAGCTTTGGCTTCCCCCCCAGAGGCACCCTCAGGCGTCTTCCTGCTCCTGCCCAGCACCAAATCCTCCCTCTTCCCCTCCTTGACAGCCCAAGGTTCTGACAGTGCCTTGGCTTGAGCCTGATCCCTCTTGGAGTCTGGGATGCTGGGAAGTGGGGACAAGCCCTGAGGTCATCAGAAATGAGGGGAGGCTGTTTTATGACCACCCTCCCCCTGAAGGTGGAAGGAGCAAAAAAAATGTACGTCTACTACATCTGAACCCTTGTCTCAGATTCCCCTAAAGTCTCCGCTAAATCCTGCTCGTCCTTTCCCTACCCTGGCATGGTTCCCTAAGTGCCCCCCCCTTCCTTTCCTCTGCATCCTCACTTCCTCCAAGCGTCCCACTGGCCCCCATTCTCCCTGCAGGCATCCCCAGGGCCCCTGGGACTGCTGGTAACCATCAAGCTAGGCCTGGCATTCCTGGCCCTAACCAAGATCTACTGGCCTAGTCCTGCCCAACCCGACATGCCCGGAGCCTGGCTGTGCCGCAGACCAGGGAAGATAAAAGCAGAAGCTCGCTGGTGTGCACCCACCTCGGCCACATGGGCAGAGGAAGACCTAGTGGCTAGAGGCAGCTGGTCAGAAGCCATGTCCACAGCTGCCTGCCGGAAGGAGAGGAGGCTTTGAGGGCTGCTTCATATCCCCTGCCCCCACTGCCCCAGCAGCGGCTCTGATCACCTGCCCCAGGAAATTGTCTCAGCCGCTGAGGTCCCTAAACAAGAAGGAAAAAGACTGGCCACCCTGCTTCTCTCTGCCCACTCCCTCACCACCCACCCACAGGCCTGTCTGCCAGGTCCCAGGCTGAGGAGCGGCTATTAATTATTAAAGCAAACAAAAGCATTTCCTAGCAGGGAGGCTAGCCTGCAGCTGCTTACAGGAAAGGCAGCCCCAGCTGGCTTGCCTCTCAGGGCCCTGCAAGTGCGATGGAACCAGCTCGAGGGGAGGCTGTCTGGGTCCTCCATGGGTCCCAGGCTGGGCATCACATCGGAAAGACAGGACAGCTGCTTCTGTGCCGAGCACTCTAACAAGAGGATGTGGGTCTGAAGGGGAGTTGGGGAAGCTGGGATATGGGTCTCAGAGCTAAAGTCCTATTGGCCCAGAGAGGGGACAGTCATGGCAATGGCCAGGGTCCTGGGCAAAGGTCTCCACTTGGAAGACCCTGCCAGTCTCTGCACCAGGCTTCCCTGCCCTTCACTGTTGCCTCCAGTCTGAGGGTATGCAGTCCCCCTTCCCCCCCCCCACCCCTCTTTTGCTGAGAACTTCCTTCCTGTTGGTAGATCCTCCCTACTGTCCTTAGGGTCTGGGGTTTCTCCTTCTCTAGCTTCTGTGAACCTTGGCTTTGCAGAGCTGGAGAGCAGCAGCTGCCCCAGTACCTGGTTCCTGGGGTCAGGTAGATCCTAGAGACCACCAGAGTGGAAAGGGTAGCCCAACAGAAAGGAGTCTGGGAACCTTCCAACATGCACTCCTGTCTCCTTCAGCAGATGCTCTCTGCCCCCCTACTGACTGCTCGAGCTTGTCCTCGTGTTGTGGACACAAGATGAACAAGCCACCCTCCTTGCACTGAAGGAACAGGCTAGCAGGCAAGGAAGCTCGGGAGAGTCAGGGCACAGCTGACTCTGGCCTTAGGCAGCACTGACAACCATTCCCTTGGGTTGGGTGGGAGGGCACAGAGAGAGAAGGTACTGGGTAAGACTATTCGGTGGGCATGTGGGTGCTAGGAACAGGGGAACTGTTTCAAGAGCCATTGCTGAGTGACAACTATCATACAAAGGCTGCAAGGAAACTTGGGATCAGACTGATGGGCCTTGAATGCTGAATCTCTGGGAGGAAGGGGGTGTCACTGAAGTTTTTAACTGAAGAGGGACATGAGCAGAGAAGAGTTCTTTGGAAATATCGCTTTGGTCCCCAATGCATGGCAGATGGTTTGGGGGAGTGGTGAGAGGCCGAGGTTGGACAGTAGGAAACCAGGGTAGGTTAACCATCAGCCAGAGAGGAAAGTGGTGGAGGGCATGTCATCATTACAAGTTGTCCGTAGGCACTGACATTAGGAGTAGGACACAGAGGGAACTTCCAGAAGCCCTGACAACCAGGTGACTGTGGGGCAAAGGAGAGCATCAAAGACAGCTAAGCAGCCTTGGGCGGGGGCGGGGGGGGGGGGGGGGATGCTCCTGGGCAAGTTTCTCAGAGATGAGAGGGAGAGGAACCAGGCAGAGGTTGAAGAGGGAGGTGGGGACAGGAAAAGAAGTTTTGTTGTTGCTGTTTTAGGATGGGAAGAGCTGAGCACAAGACCAGCTGGGGATTGAGATACAAACAGGAGAGAGGCTGGGCTACTTCTGGGAAGAGTGAGGAGAAAGGATTAGCCTGCTCTCTGGAAGGAGGTGACCCAGAGTCACTCAAATGTGGAGGGGGGGGGAGCCCTCTCAGGCTGTGTCCTAAGACAAGTCTGTGGAATTGGAGACATGCAGCCCAGGCCGGAAGAAATGCCCCTTTTCAAATTGGGGAAGCCTTCTGAGTCCAGCAATGTGGCCCTGGGGACTCAAATCTGACCCCCAAGCACCAGTCAAGACCCCCATGTGAAGACAACACTGCTGGTGGCCTAATCCGCTGGCAGAGCCTCACCCCACACTTCCTGCACCCACAGAAGCTACAAGGGCACTTGCCCCCTTCCCATCTGCTTCCCCCTCATCCAACCTGCTGCCTGAGGCTGGGACACGGGAGGGTCAGAGAGAAAGAGGAACCTTAAACCCCAGAGGCCCCATTGGAGCTCCCTATCCACGGTTATAAGGAGCCTTCACCACACAGCCAGAGGTGGAGAGAAACGTGGGGCGATGTTAAGGGATTGATTATGTCACGTTAAATAAAAAAGCCAGGACCAACAGAAAAACAACGGGATACAAAATTGTACGCATAGCACAGGGAAAAAAACATGGTAATGAGAAGAAAGATGGGAAGAAAGTGTTGACAGTAGTTGTATTAGAGAGGTGGGGTTTTGTGTCCTATTTTCCAATTTTCTGGGATATAATCATATCATGAGTGAATTAATGCAGAAGCAAGACCTTTCTCTTCTTGAAGAGATGAACTCCAGAGAGAATCCCCCCAGTGCTCCCTCCTGACAGTCATAAAAGGACGTGCAGAATCACCCGTTCAGTTTGTGCATGAAACAAGGTGTGCTAAGGGGTAAGGCTGGGGTTGGACTCTGAGTGGTGTCCCCTGGACAGGGCAGGGGATGTGACTATATGGCCTGGGTGCCAGGCAATCCCCTATGAGAATCCCTTCAGGCTGCTGTACGAGCAGCTGCTCAGGACTCTGGGAAGCCCAGCTTTCACATGTCCCAGGTGTCTGCAGAGGCAGCACCTCTCCATACTACCCCCCCTACCCCCCATGCTCACAACTAGAGATACAAAAAGTTGGGGGCCCTAGTGTGTGGGGGCAGGTCAACATATCTTTAAACTTCCTTTCCAAATCCAGGAGTCCATCCCCCACCCAGTCTCCCTGCCCAGACTCCTGCAAAGGAGTCAGAAGAGGAGATGGATGTGGGTGCGGGCTTCCCAGGGACACCCAGCCTCCCGCAGGACCCACCAGAAAAACACCTTGAGAAGAGGCGGGACCTGAGGGGCCCTGCCCCATTCCCAGCCCCAATCACTCTAGCTAGCAAAGCGGGCTGCCCGCCTCATCTTTCTCATTCTTCAGCCCCCTGCCGCTTCTCCAGCACAGCACACCCATCCTCCCACTGAGGGGCGTGGGAAAGCAGAAAGGGGGCTGGGTTTGAGCCCCGGAATTGGACCTGGAGAGGCACTGGGACTGCCCAGGGAGCCGGGGTTGGCGGTTCCTACAAGGCTGGTGGCTGTGGGGCTAGGCTCAGGACGGCGGGCAGGCGGGATACCTTTTCCTTAGAGCCACGGGTGGCCGGGCCCACCTGCAATAGTCAGAAGTCAGAGCCGGGACAGCCTGGAGTGGAGGCAGAAGCCCCGCCCCGGCCTGCCCGCCCCACATCCTCAGGAGAGAGCACTGACGCTCGGGGCAGGGTGGGCGGGAGAGCTTGCTGGGGCTGTCCAGAGTTAGGGCTCCCTCCAGCCCGCGCCCTAGCAGCTCTGCAAGCTGCGCGAAGGCGGCGCGGAGCCGTCCAACCCCAGAGCGCTGGGTCGCTTCCGAGCGCTTACCTCTGCGCCGCGGTGCTGGCGTCCAGGATGCCTGCGCCCTGCATCCAGGAGCGCACCGAACCCAGGCCTGCAGGCAGCAGCGGCTCTTCCTTCAGGTTCAGCCCGCCGCGGGGCAGAGCGTCCTGCGCAGGGAACATCAGGGCGCGCGGTGGGTGGGCGCCCCCAGCCCAGGGGATCCGCGCCCCCTGAGGCTGCGGGCGTCTCAGCTCCCAGGGACCCGACGGCACCGACGCACTGTAAGAGGGCAAAGCAGCGCGCAGTCCCGGCGGCTCCG